TATAAAAATAAATATATAAATTGAAATCATAAAAATAAATATAAATATATAAATTAAAATTATAAATTAAATGTAAAACATCATTTTTCGTAAGAAAATTACGCATAGCAGCCGCTGTCGACACTTCAGCGATTGCTTTAATACTGATGAGTGAACAAATTTTGCATTGTTTGCTGGAGGCGTGCTTAAAAAATTGTTGGTAAATTTAATGTGTAATGGAGAGAGAAGACTTCGTGTGTTTGTCAACGCGCGTTGATGTCTAAAGGCCACTTTAGACTACAAAACATTATTTATGTAGATCTGATAAAAAAAAGTCAATAATAATAAAGAACAAAAAAAATTAATATATAATAATCTAAATAAATATATTATATCAATATATAATAATCCTAAAAAAATATCTAATAGATTTATTTTTCGAATAACACAGTTAACTAAATGCATAATTGTTGTATTAATTATACTCGTATACTAAATCATAATATGTCGACTATATGTTATTTCGCACATTCGATAAAAAAAAGTCTTTATAAAACTTCATTATTATTAGTATTATATTTGAAGAATTTGTACTGCAATATAAAAATATATTATACTTTTTCATGGACTTTGAGTATTTCCCTAAGTTTAACTTTCTATATAAATTATAATATGGAACCGACATTACAGAGATTTAATTCTTTAACCGTCACCTAGATAATTCTCTAGCTTATGCATCAATGCAGAGCAAACTCCTAGTAGATGTTTTGAGGTTTTATTATCTTTCCTACAAAAGTCACAAGTTTCATTAGAGTAAGTTCCTAGTTTTGTAAGGTATTATTTAAAAATACCAGTTAGAATACTTGTAATTTTTCTTAAATTATTTGTACTGAATCGCTTATAATCCTTAAACCCTTTTAGATTGAAGGTTGCTATAAGTAATTTCGATTGTGATAGCCCTGGTAAATTAACCCTGGTAAATGAAAAATAGTTGTGTTTTTATTGTGCTTCTGATTATTTTAAACCTGGCCCATAAATACCTGCTCTAGCTTCTTCTTGAGTTGAGCAACATTCCATATAACAAGTTAACAAATTCTGGCTTATTTTATAGAATTTAGATATACCACGTCAACTATTTTTGTAACTAACTTTATTTATAAAACTATTTGTGAAACTCAACTTATTATCTCTTGGCATTACAATTTCAGGAAGTTATTTTGGAAGCATGTTAAATTTATTGCGATTAAGACAACTGGTCAAACCGATGTTATCTTTGAACACCTATAGAGTAACCCACTCCGCTTGGGAGTATGTAAATGTGAAAAAGCGTGAGTACTAAGAGAACCTCAATGGAAACCGTTGGTCATGTTTCCATGGCTACTTACACATACCAGTCTTTGTATCTTGTTGTGTGTATTAATCACTGTTTTTTCTTTGTAACGGATTTCTATAATAATCCACCGCAGTAGTTTCGTTATGAAACTCCAACTTTCACCTGCAATGGACTTGCATACCTAGATAACTTTTATAACCTTTCTTTCTATTACTGCAATGAGAGGTTTAACAATAATTTTTAGTTGAATATTATTCCAAAAAATTTTGCTTCCTTCTGTCGTTCTAACACCATCGCGTTAAGGCTAATGAGTTGAGCTTATATTTCCTCGTAAATGGTACAATGGCAGTTTTTGCTGGATCGAAGCCCTACTTTGACGCACCATATCTTTGTTAGTTTTAGTCGTAGTTGAATTCTGTCACATATGCAGGTAGTATCTTTAAATTTTGCTATTCATATTATAACTATGTCATTAACATAGTTTTGAACTAATAAAACATTTTTTTCTAATTCTAACAATAGTTCATCTTCGACTATATTGTATATATAATTTCATATGAATAGTAGATTGTATATTAAATAGAAACTTTGTATCCTTGGATTTAATTAGAAAAGAGTAGATATGAATATAAAGACAACAAAATATTGTACCTCAAATACTTATACTTTAACATCGCCGTGAAGTCTGTTACTAATGGAGTTGGTTAAGGCATCCTGTTAATAGCATTTCATAAGTAGTTCTGTTAACAACGGCAAAGATGAAGTATTTAGTAACATTCCGCTAACATTTACCTTTAATATCGAATGTCTAGAATTAACTGTCGTAATTAATTATATTTTAATTACATATATAATTATCATAATTTACATGACAAAATAATTTATTTACGAATAAATCATTACATATTATTTTTTTTAATTAAATTAAAATACCTTATTGTTACTAAACATTATTTATCTAGAAGGTTTTAATTATTTATATTCTGTCCATTAAATTCATGAGTAATTTTGCTGATTGTTTTCTAATTAAAAACTACTCATTTGACATTTGGTTTCTATAATTTATAATTGACAAAAATTACTCAGAGATCAATTAGTGGTCAAAGTCGTATAAATTTCTTATAAAGATTTTGAACTCCAAACAACTAATATATCAAATTATATATGTAATGAGTTTGACATGCGTAACCGGAATATAAAAATAATTACATTTTTAATTGAATAAAGATAAAATAAATAACAGAGATAAAAATATAATAGTTTAAATAATTACAAATAAGTAATTAATATATTATAAACCTTTATTTGTCTGTTAACAATAAAGGAACTATTTTCATAATGACCCTGTATGCAAGAATTGTATTTGTTACTTTGACAACATATTTCTTATTTATTGATTAAATAAAAATTATATAATATCATAAGAATTAAAGTTAGCAAGTGCATAAGCTGCGTTTTTATTAAAATAAATGAAATTTTTTCTAAAAAAATGTTTGCGCAAAAAACCTCCAGAAATGAAACCCGGCGCCATCTTGGATGCTGTGATATCTCAGTCATCTGCAACAGCTACAAAATGTCTTTTATATAAATTAGCAGATTTCAAACAAGGCAAGATGATAGAAGAAATACCAACAAAATATATTCTCCAACAACTAATCTTAACTAATATTTTTCCACAAATATAGGTGGTGACCTTATAGATGCCATTAACACTGGCGGTTTGGTGGCAGTTGAGCAACTTATAAGAGATCAGTTTGGCATATTCATGTACAATGATGGGAAGGGACAAGTCATTAATCGAGCTGAGTTCTTACGTTGGAAATATCGTGACCATACACAAGTTACTATACCAATTGAAGCTTCCTTATCTATACACGATCCTTTAGGGAAATGGGAAGACCATAAAGCTTGTTGGCAAATGCAATATCGCGGTGCTTTAGGTGAAAGTTTATTGCATGTACTCATCATATGTGACTCTAAAGTACATACAAAACTGGCACGTGTGTTGTTACGTGTATTTCCAAACTTAGCCTTGGATGTGATGGAAGGTGAGGAGTACTTAGGTGCAAGTGCCTTACACCTAGCAATTGCATATAGCAATAACGAGCTAGTTGCAGATCTAATAGAAGCAGGCGCTGATATTAATCAAAGAGCGGTGGGTAGTTTTTTCTTGCCTCGCGACCAACAGCGCGCAAATCCTGCCAAGTCCACTGATTACGAAGGCTTGGCTTACATGGGTGAATATCCCTTAGCTTGGGCTGCATGTTGTGCTAATGAAAGTGTTTATAATTTGTTAATGGATTATGGTGCAGATCCGGATGCACAAGATTCATTTGGTAATATGATTTTGCACATGGTAGTAGTCTGCGATAAATTGGTAAATTTCTTTATATATAGTAAATACAATAAATATTTTCATAACAAAATTGTTTATTAAAAGGATATGTTTGGTTATGCTCTACGACATCCAAAAACTCCAGCTAAAAATGGTATTGCCAATCACTCCGGCTTAACTCCATTAACATTAGCCTGCAAACTCGGACGCGCTGAAGTGTTTCGTGAGATGTTGGAGCTTTCTGCTCGGGAATTCTGGCGATATAGTAATATTACCTGTTCTGGTTACCCATTAAACGCCCTGGATACTTTGTTGCCAGATGGGAGAACAAGTGCGCTATTGAATTTTATTTAACTAAAAACTTTTAAGACGACAATTAAATTAATTTCTTTTAGATTGGAATTCTGCTCTCTTCATTATATTAAATGGTACAAAAGAGGAACATTTGGATATGTTAGATGGTGGCATTATACAACGTCTATTGGAAGAGAAATGGAAAACATTCGCACAGAATCAATTTCTGAAACGCTTACTCATTTTATTTATACATTTGGTTTGTCTTTCCGTATCAGTTTATTTGCGTCCTGCACATGATGGTGATGAAGATGAAGTAGACGGTACTGGTGAAGACACAAAGGAGAAAATCGCGGGAAGTGATGAAGAATATGACGCACGTACTATAGCACGTTATTGTGCTGAACTGTGTACCATTGCTGGCGTTCTGAGTTATGTGATTTTTCAGCAGGGTGATGAAATAAAAAATCAAGGTCTGTCAGCATTCTTGAAGCAACTGGTTAGCTACAAACATTAATTTTGATGGTTATTTGAAAAATCTTACAAATTTCTATTCCTACAGTCACATGCTCCAGCAAAGGCTATATTTTTAGTATCAAATCTTATGATACTGTCTTGCATACCGTTTCGCCTAATGGGTGATAAGGATACGGAGGAAGCTATATTGATATTTGCGGTACCAGGTAGTTGGTTTCTATTGATGTTTTTTGCTGGGTAAGAAAAGCTGATTAGAGAAATATATTATGCTAAAATCTTTTTTTTTTGGTTCAGTGCTATTCGCCTTACTGGTCCATTCGTTACTATGATATACTCCATGATAACGGGTGACATGTTTACATTTGGCATAATTTATTCCATTGTACTTTGTGGATTTTCTCAGGCATTTTACTTTCTCTACAAAGGACATCCACAGCTACAGTCCACGATGTTCAACACGTTTACCAGCACTTGGATGGCATTGTTTCAGACAACACTTGGAGACTATAATGTATGTGTGGCATATGTGAATACTGATATGCGATAATGATATAATTTTAATATTTTCACTAGTATCCTGATTTGAATCAAACAACCTATCCAAATCTTTCAAAAACTGTTTTCATTATATTCATGATTTTTGTACCGATTTTATTGCTTAACATGTTGATTGCTATGATGGGTAATACATATGCACATGTCATTGAGCAATCCGAAAAGGAATGGATGAAACAGGCAACTATTAAAAATTGGTGTTATATGAACGACTAATCCAATTTGTTACAGTGGGCAAAGATTGTTGTTACTTTGGAACGTGCAGTACCACAGGCCGATGCCAAAAATTACTTGGAAGCTTACTCCATACCATTGGGTACTTCCGATGATTCTGGATTTGAAGTACGTGGAGTAATGGTGATTAAAAGTAAAAGTAAGACACGTGCCAAGCAAAGAAAGGGCGCAGTGTCCAACTGGAAAGTATGTGATTGTATAAATGTATACATTTTTAATAAAAAAGTTAAAAATTTTTTTTTATTAAGCGTGTTGGTCGAGTTACTCTCAATGCTTTGAAGAAACGTGGCATGACGGGTGAACAAATGCGTAGACTTATGTGGGGAAGAGCGTCAATTTCAAGCCCAATTAAAATTGCTAAAAAGAAACTTACTGATCCTTACAATCTCAATCCAACTAATAATGATTTTACAAGTGCTATGGATATGCTTTCATTTGCAACAGACCCAAGCGCAAGTGCGCCAAAACCTTTACGTACAGCCAATATCAAAACAGCTGAGAATCATGTCTCTATACCAGACCCATTGAGAGAACTAATTATACTCTCAGATCGTCAACCAGATGTGGATGATCCACAATTTTTTGCAGGACTACAACAGTTAGCCAATAAAGCTTTCGACTTAGTTGAACAAACTATGAAAACGCAACCAATCAAAACACAATCAATAACAGCACCAAAAACCACTGTCACATCTGCACCCACAACTAATACTCCGGCAGCTACTATCACAGCTAATAAAACTTTGACAGCTACAACACCCCCTACAGCAGTCGGTGCTCCAATAACAACAAACATTTCCACTCTATTTCAAGATCCCAAAGATATTGTTGATCCTAAGAAGTTGGAAGAATTTCTTAAAATATTAGCAGAAGTTGACACTGAAGAAAGCGATGGGGGCAAACCAATTTTGGGCAAATTGTCATTGGCGCGAAGAACTCGCTCTGCTCTTGCTAAAGCAGATATCAAGAAGAATACTGCAGAACGTGGTACAGAGAATTCAATGACATCAGTCTGGGCACAATTACCACAAGCTTATGATGAAAAGGTTACCTTATTTAACAAACACATATAGTCTTTCTTAATTTATTTCATTAATTTTGAATTAATTTAATTAATAAATATTTATTTAATTATTCAATTAATTGTAAATAATTTTTTAGGAACCGGAGTATGATGAAGCCTTATCCGATCAAATACTTACAATCGAACAAGAAGCAGAGGTCGAAACTGAAGATGCGTACAGCGAGGAAGTGACTGCTGAGGAAGTGCATGCCACAATGAAGCAATTTCATTTACGTAAACGTCAGTATCCACAAGATGATGCAACACGTAGAGCAAAAACAGCACGCATCAGACGTAAGAATAGGTAAGTTATATATAAGACCTTCAAAGAAAATCTTCGCAATCACGCTAGAGTATTAAAGTAATTCAAATGAAATAATTCGGTTGCTAATATTTAAATGTCTTATGTAAATATAAAGTAAGATAAAAATCTAATCTCTTCTATTGAACGAACCATATATTGATATACTATATAAACCCATAAAATTATTGTTTTGTATAATTACAAGAATTTCACCGGAAGCTGCCGAGGCTGAAAATGATTATTTACGTGGACGTTCAGCTCCTATTAAGAAAGCACATTTTTATAATGATCGTCAAATATCACCACCAGATCCATTGGAACCGTGGAGTACCCGTGAATTACAAAATATTAACAAAATTTTAGCAAGGAAATAAATATGTTATAAAAAATTTTATTATAGACCCCCAAGCTCTTCGTTATAGCTTTAGTGCAATATCATTTATGTAAGCCAACTAATAAAATTATCTATGCTTAATTAACATTCTTTAGTTTCATTTTTTTTAGGAAAGCTGAACAAATTAAATAGATAATAATAATTTTTCTTAAAATAATAAATAATAATAATTTTAAATGTAGCAGCAGCTATACAAAACAAAAAAAACATTGACTGTTACTGAAAATAAAAATATTTAATTTTTTACATATTATAGAAAATACAAATACCTCTTATATAAACGGATTTAGAAGTGGCACTCTCTGCTGTTGAGGTATATTCATCCCAACAAACATATTAAAACTGCATTGGAACTTCTAAATTCAAACAGAGATTTCCGAAAAATTTTTGAACTGAGTTTCTCAATTTTCTTACAAAGTAAGATATTTAAATAGAATATAAAATTAGAATAGACTACAAAAATAGAATCGCCTCATCTTTTTGTCTACAATTTAACGGTTCGTCATACCTGACTTTTACTTAAGTATATTTGAGTGTTTAATTGACCTTAACAGTGAAATCTATTAGTTAAGAGTTACATATCTCACAATTCTTATTCGGCAACACTTTTTCAGTGACATATGCCAAACAGAACTATTATCCAAGACATTCCATTATAATCCATTTTCTATTGTACTAAAAATTGATATATCAAAAACTCATCTTATTTTTAATTGAAACTTATCAACATTATTACACTTAAATTGGATAAGAATTATATAGTTGTGTTTAGAAGAAATTTTTTGTTTCAGCTTTTACTGCTTTTTTAATTCTCATTTAGTTGAAATCTAACAACCTATATAAGCTCTATACGATTAATTTAGTAATGTATTCAATTTTCATATTCGATTTCATAATTCATCAGTTAATTATTATTTGGTTTAGGTAGTGGGCTAGGTTATGAAAAAAGTCATTGGGTGAAATTATATTAACTGACACGTACATATATAAATTAATAGACGGTGTATTTTCAGTGTTGTCATTTATGAGTTGACAATATTATTCAAAACGTTCAGCATGTTTTGTTAATGGCAAATATTTTTCTAATATGTTGTCGGTCGGGAAGTATAGGTTAATGGAGATCACTTTAGAATCATAAATATTGACTTACATTGTTTCTATAACTGAATAAAATTGATGTGCAACAGTTTCAGTTTCAACGCAATTTCAGATAATGGCCATGTGTGAATTAGTATTCGAGATCATGTGAACTGTGTTCTATGGTGCTATAAGATGTGGACTCAGATAAAATATAGGCACGGAACTAGTTCGAAATGCAAGATTACCTATATTAAGAGGACCCACTTATTCAACAAAAAGAACATAAAAATGATTAAATGTAATTAAAGCCTAACAATAAGTTATAGCATTCCAAAGCCTAATAACATTACATTATAAATTATTTTTTAAAAAAACATACTATAATGAATTATATAATGATTAGTAAATTATTTTAATTAATCATGATGATCTTTAGAAAAGCAGGATGACAGGTCTATCTTTCCATTTCCGTCTAGAGGAATTTCCCATATTACTAAGCGATCTAGCTAGCGGATTCACATGGTTTTCAAGATTTAAAATGTGTTTATGCCTCATTTTCCCAAACAGGACTTTAACCATCGGAACTTCTAAATCGAAATGTATGTTTCCATTTCTGATATAACAGGGTGCACCAGTTATCATTCTTAGAATCTTTGCTTGAACTCTTTGCAGGATTTCTACTTTTGACGAACAGGCTTTGCCATATAGCTGTAAGCTATACGTACAAATTGGCTTAATGATTTGGTTATACCACAAGACTTTATACTCTGAACATAAGGAAGACTGATACTCAATTTGCATACGATGTCTTATAGCCTTGAACTTTCTTTGAGTCCTTTTTGTTTCGATATGTTTCCGGCATGTTAAGCGTTTATCAAGGTGAGCACCAAGGTATGTGATTGTTTCTGTTTGCGGCCTAAGTGAACCTGTCTTTTTAATAATACGAATGCCATGTGAATATATAACATGAATTTTCTGAATAAATGGATTATTATTATGTGATAATGTGATAATCATTTTAAGTTCCTACTGAATAAGTTAATATTGCACTATTTTTAATATTCTAAGTAACTAAAATCTTAAAATTGAGTTTATTAAGTGCAATTGAAATACATATTTACATTAAGTACCAATCGAAATTATCAAGTAGATGGAGCAATTAAGAGCAATTAAAGTATTCAACTTTAAATTGATGATAAATTTAAATAAGCCGTAATAGAGCATCAATGATATGAATTTTACACCCACATTGCTTATCTGGCAATTAAGTAGATTTGCATAGAATGTGGATACGAAGATGCACCTTGGATAATTGGTGCATTCGCAGATATGAATAAGCTTTGTCTTACAGCGAGAATTAAGAATGAATATAGAAAAGAATTTATTTCATTTATTTGAAAAAGTATCTCTAAACAAATAAATTTCAAGTATACAAATTAAATGGTTCAATAGATGATAACTCAGGCAAGCAGTAAATTCAAGAGATATAAATTTCAATTAAATAAAAAAATTTTTAATAATAGAGCTGAGCTCAAACTGAGTTTAATTTGAAAAATATTTTAATTATGCTTGTTCCATTTAAAATTTTTATGCAAATTACAACCGGTTCGATTGAAGCCGAGTAGATTTTTCTTTTTATTATTTGTTAGAAATCAAAACATGGCATGACATTTAATAAGACAACGTGCCCATTTTGGACGGTCATTCACACTTGATTTTTTTGGTAAGAAATATTTTTAAAAAAAAAAAACGAAGTTTAAGAAAACAACCTCATTTGTATGCGAACTACAATATATGGACAGAAGAGGCTTAAAGTCTTAACTCACTCACGTTTATCAATTTTGATGATGAGACATTTAATTTGTTTTAATTCGTTTCAAGTCTTGACAACAAATTGACGAAATTTTAGGTAATTATTATGAAACTAAAGTCAACAACTCTTTTAGCTGACGTGAATTTCAAACGTAAGTACAAATCTCTAAAGCCATGTTCGAATATATTATATACCTATATATGTAAATACATTACACATATATATATTTCTAATTTTTATGCACACAAGAGTTCTAAACGCTAATATTTGCTGTGTTCGGTGAGTATCTGTTAACAACCAAGTTAAGAACAATTTCGAAATAATTATTGATTTTCATTTGTTTTATTTGCTTAAATTATAAGCAGGTTTCCAATATCTTTAAAGCCATATTAGCCTTTGTCGCCGAGCTGCTCTGAACGCAGCCAATTGCCGCTGGTGGGATTGTGCGTCTCACAGCCAGCCAATGCAACGAATGCAACAAATGCAACGAATGTGGAAAATAGCTGTTGCCATTGACCGCAAAATGACAACTGCATCTGTTCTCTGGTTAATGCAACTACACGATTTTTGTTTTAAAAACTACTTTTAAATTTAATTTTTTACTTTTTTACTTTTGTACATTTATACATACGAATTTATAATATTGATTTATTATAATTTTTATTTGCTAACAAATAATAAGGTTGACTTATGGTTTGTACTTGAAGTCTACACCTAAATTTTATACCTTCAACTAAACAACTTTCATACTACACAATGTTGTCAATGCAGATTTGACATGAGAGTGTCACTTCAAAGTAAATTATATATTATAGAAGTTGTTTTCAACTCAGGACTGTAATAGTTTATATTATATACTTAATACTAGAGCTTACATTAACTTCTATGTCAGCATCTCTTAGCATGGTTCACCTGTAGTAGTTTATTTTTGTATGAGAGGTAGTCTAAGCTTTTGAGATAGTGATTTGTGTTGCATGAAGAAAAGTTCTATTATAAGAAATTAATATAAACTATCGTAAACTTTAACCATCTCAGGCCAATATTTGATTCTTCAAGGGTCAAAAAATAGTTATCTTTTATAAAAAGCGTTACTTTTGTACAGAAGGTGGTGTTAATATTCGAAACAGAATTTTGTAATATAATAAAAAGAAAATATGTTACAATATTTATTGTAATATTATAAGTATTATGTTAATATTATATTAATATTATAGTAATATCATATTAAACATACTGTATTATAAAAAATAATGTGCTGAAGTCATATATGTATGTTAACCCTATCCTATCTGACATTAGGCCATTAATTATAGAAAACTGATTTTGTCACAAAAAATAGACTTCTATATGTTAGGTAATAAGATTAGATTAGATTTTTAAAATGGGTTGGGAACTTGTTAGCGCGTCACTGCATCCTTTGAGGATTATTGTGACATACCCACTTCAGTTCCATAGACGAGTGGCAGTTAAGAATGCCAATATGTCCTTTGCAGAGATGTTGCCTAATTCCGTTATAAACGGATAGGCAGTGGATAAGTACCGAAGTCTGAGTTTCCTCTTCTTCGCAACAAAGTCTTCAGCTATCGTCTCTAGCTATACCTAGATTCGATAAATGCTTTTTAACTCCGCAGTGCCCAGTGAGAAACCCTGTGACAAATCGGATACCACTTCTGTTCAGCATAAGTAGCTCCCTCGTTCTGGCTTTTGATTGAAACGACATGGATTCTTTGGCTTGTCTGCAGGCAATTGTATTATCCCAATCCGTCTGAGCTGCTCTTTCCACCCACTTATTAGTTTTAAGTTTGAAAAAGCTCTACGAAGGACCACAGAATGTTTGTGGCCCAATATAATATGACGACGCCCCTTTTCTCGCTAGTTCATCTACTTTTTCGTTTCCCTCAAATCCACTGTGCCCTGAAATCCATATTAAGTGGACCCTGTAGAAGGATGTACAGGTAATACGTGTTCAAATGTTCACAAAGACATTTAGAATGTATAAAAGAAAGTTATATTTTTGAAAAATAATTTGAGTCAGATAAACAGTTGATTATACTTTATACTAGAATCAATACTTTTCTAGTTACTCCGACTTCAACAGACGGATGTGCTCCTGACCGCAGAACTACCTCGAGCAATTGCTCAGCAATTGAGAGCGTACCGATTTTTAAGAAAAACTCTGAATTAGACTCGACCATGATATGAAAATATGAAGACAGTAATTAAAACTAGAGTGAAAGAACTTGTTTATTATACCGCTTTCCGAATGAATGAAACATAGTTCGATAAAGACTGATGTGTAGTGACTGTATATAACAATAGTATAGTCGGGAAAACAATATTACAGGATGTCGACAGACACAGAAGCAAGTTTAACGAAAGAAAAATCACCAGAACTATATTAAATAAAAAAAAAACTCTGAAGAAAGAAAGAAATTGAAAACATAAATAGTGAAATTACTGATTCTACGATATCACTCAAGAAAACCATTTTATACAATAAAATAAAAATATTAAAGAAAAAAATTAAATAAAATAAGATAAAAAAATAAAAATAAATTAGTTAGAATAAGTAATTCGCCTCAAGATGAGACATATGAATCCAACCTAACTTAAAATATTATAAGAGACATAAATTGTTCTAAAAGATAATAAAGCTCCTAACTAAAATAACAAAACGATGGATGATGTATTTTTCATTTAGTTGTAAAGACATGTTTAGAGATATCTCTTCACCATACCTATGAAATAGTAAACTGGCATTACCATCTTCATCTTTAAGAAAGGTAACACAACTGAAGGTTAAGAAGGCAACTGAAGGTGCAAGGTTTTAAGAGGACTAACATATATACTTACTACTTGAGAAAGAACAATAATTATATCAGAAAATATTTATTACCAATAATCATAAGTTATAACACAACACATTTCAAAAGTAACAAAAATCATGAAAACAATACTAAATTAGAAATGATATTACCATAGTTTATAGGACTAATAGGAATAGGACTAAATCTAGCACAAAGAGTGTTTGTGGATTTATTGAAAACCGACTCTAATTTTTTATGTTTTAAACAAATTATTTTATCGCATTAGAAATGCGTTACCATATTAATAATTGATTCTTATGAGTTCGCATTATAACCACTAGTGTATTAATCGAAATAGTGTCTTATTCGATGTCTTATTCGGAAGAGAGAAATTTATATCCTCTAACTAAATTTATATGGGGCAATAAACTGGACATAAGCTATTTAAAAGCCTTTATTATATGTAGTGAACTGAAGTATAAAAGGTTTTGAGATACATTATACAGCTTGAAAGCCATTATTGAAAGGTGTTATTGATATATTATTAAAAGTCATTGAACAATGCACTGGAATAATGCGTTTCGCCTGTTCAATTAGTTTAAATAAACTGATCTTATATGAATAAAATAAAGACAGATGTACATACATATAACTTTTTATTATTATTTTTTGTTTCGTTAAATAATTTGTATGGTTTTGTCCAAGTTTAAAAACTTATTTAGAGCTACTTTCTTACAAATCCTTAGCTCTACAATTTTTATTATAAATTAATTAATTTGGATTTGATAATATTTTCATTATTATTCCTTTACATATTTGAAGTAAAATTATTACCATCGGATATAAAAATTTAGTGTACTAATAAATTTTCTTAATGAATAATAGTCTTAGAAGTTATATTTATCAAATCTCAGAATGGTTACAGGCTCATCGGGGAGGTATGCAGATCTGAGGTCAATTATTGCTTAGTCTGATGAAGTGATAAACAATAATCTAGTCAAGGTGTAGAAAGGGGTTTTGAAGAAATCTCGAGTTAAAAAAGAGTTTAAGTGCTAAAGTACACTAGCTCAACATAAAAATAATTTAATTTTTCCTTTCGTAGATTTAAGTAGCTTTTGATTTGTGTATGAATAATAGTGAAATCAAGATAATAGGTACAAAGACTTATTTTTAAAAAATATTTAACAATTTACAAAATCTTTTAAAATAGTATTAGTTTTATTATAAAAACAAAAAATAAACAATTAAAAAATTTTTCAATAAATTTTTACCCCAGGGTTCAATAATCGTGTGCAAGCTAAGCATTTATTCCAAATAAATTATTATTATATCTTTTCTTTCCCCCCCAAAAAAAAAAAATAAATAAAAATTGCTATACCTACGGAATTTAAGCCATTTGGATTGCAATTAAAATTGAATTGTTATTCATGAGTGTAAATCAATCACGCTTTTGAAGCAATTACAACCATAAATTAAAAAAGTATCTAAAAATAAATTATTGGAGTAAAGAAACCAAATAAAATTATTTTAACCGGGAACTGAAGTGTACGTGGGACATTAAAACCTGACTTGAAAGTCAGCCACAAAAGACGATTGTACGCTCAAGCACTTAGATCACTAATCTGTCAAACTGACAGTTCAGTGAATGTTTAAGTTTGGCTTGAAAATAATGAAAAGATACAAAAAGTAAAAAAGTGGACAGTGCAAGACTTTAATGTTTTTAATAACCTGCGGCCAAACATGACAAAACACCGTTTTGATATAGATAAAAAATTCAAAAAAATTTATTTCTTAACAAAATTTATTGTAAGGAACTCCATATTATAACTAAACTGTGAAAAATTTCGTTTTACATAATAATGCTTATATGTACAGACTTATGTATTTATTTATATTCATACAATAACTTATATACAGACTATTCTACTTTATCACTATCTTTATGTTTTAATAAGGGATAATCGACTTCATCAATTTTCGACATATGCGTGTGACTGGGTGCAGCTTTGTCTAAACGTTCATTGATGCTATTATCCACGGTAGGATCAGGAAACTCACTTGCTAAATGGAAAATAATTTTTTTAAATAAAAATTCAGATAGATTTGTTCTTAAAAAGAACAAAAACATCCAATTCGAGAAATTGCATTTCTGAATAACTGCATCCAACTCTTGCTCATCAATGCGACCTGGCTTAGCCCAGTAGAACGCAACTTTTGAGAATGTGTTACTGCAATTGAAATAAATAAAATGAATACTATATGATTTAGTAATAAAATTAATATTTACCTTTTATAGAAAAATAAAGTTAATACACGCCAAATGAGCCCTAAAGCTGTGACGATAAATAAAAATGCATACCAGAACCATAGTATAGCATAGATTTTCTCATTGATTATATTCAAAGCCATAACACAGAGAGTATCATGTAATTGCAATGATCCAGACGGACCGAATTTTTGAAAATGACATTTTGTTACTTTTGGAAACACAACATCTAAAACATCCATTTTATCTGTCCATCTCTCACGTAGTACCGCGAAGCCAAGTGTATAAAAAGCACCACCCAGGAACATATTTGTTAAATAAATTTGCAATATAACATTTAACAAATTGAGTACTTCTGCCATCACTAAATGAGCGCCCCACGATTGATTTAAACGCATACGATCTATCATCGTACGCCGTATATCCTTGACACGAGCCTCAGTCTCTCCAAGTGATGGTATTGTCAAGTTACCTATTTGCAAGCTTTTATTTTTGAGATACTGTGTTAGACCGACCATGCGTAACCCAAATACAAGTGACTTCACACGTCCACCTAATAAAAAAAATAATACATCGTGAATATATTAATTATACCGACACGAATGAATATAGTCATAGATGACGATGAGCACTACAGCAGATGTAGTAATAATAATTATGACTTGTAGGACTTCTTTAGAGAAGTTATGAATCAATACTTTTCATTATAGAATTATGAATATTGGCAAAATCTTGCTTTAAAAATCAGAATATAATTATAGATGGCAATGTGTAATACAGTAGCTATAATAGTAATCACATCTTATTAAGCTTCATTAGAGTTATGATGAGTCAATATTTTTTCTTACAGGATTATAAAAATATTCGAAATATTGCTTCAGAAGTTAAAGGTTGGAATCAAATAAATTGACTGGATCTGAATATACTAATTATTGAATATGCTATAGTTTTTTGATAAAACTTGTATTGAAACAGAAACTATATATACTTTATATATTGTCTAAACTTTCATTAGATGTACCAGTATATTTAATGAATATCATAGAAAAGTTTTACTGCAAAGTAAGTTAATATAGTGATAATAGCAATACTAAAAGAATAACAATGAAAGTAGAAAACAAAAGATAAAATTATATACCGAGAACTACAAACTAAAACATAAGGCAAATATGACAAAAACTAAGCTATAAACTTACTATATAACTCAAAACAATAGAGATGTGTACGACCTGGATATACCCCATATCTTGTCCTATGAAACGAAACCGGACCATTACCTTCTAATCGCTTCTGCAATTATCAATTGTAATATCAATAATAATGCAATTATCAATAATACAATTATTATTTGTATTATTACTTAGTATCCTCATATTTACTTTCTTGCTAAATCTTTATGGGTTAGTAAACTTGCTATATATAAGTTGGCAACTAATAGAATAGGATATATGTTAGCATACCATCGATTGAAGTATGGGCATGTAACACTGCAAAGTGTGTTGGAACTTCAACTGAATTGAAACAAATAGATTAATCTATCAATCGATTAACCATCGTGTGAAAACATTAAATAATAAAAAACCACGTTTAGAAAAATCAAGAATTTGATGAGAAATCGTTATTTTAAATATGAGGAAGTTTTGGTGCAGAGGACAGTTTTTTGATATACTCTAAATTGTTCTCTTTAAGGAGAGTGGAAATAAAACTGATTTAAATATGAAGTATATAAATCTACAATATTGTTGGTAATATATGTATAAATTCAGATTTCACAGTTTGGTAACATCTCATACTTATTTGCTCGTCTTAAACATAACAGCTTCTAAAAAATGAAATATATTTCAGATGCTTGTAAATAATCTATAAGATCTGCTGTAAAATATCAGTTTCCTTTAAATCGATCTAAAAGTGTAAAGCTATATTTGTTGTAAGGTGAGTTGAATAATTTCATTGCTTGGTAATGAAACCTAAACTAACATTTGATTGATTTTAGAATTGTAGTCTATAGTCTCTTTAATTTCTTCACAAACATAACGTCATATTGGAGAATTAAGTTGAGCGACATGTAAAGTATGTAACAAATTATATCGAATAAAGGAAATATATTTTTGATCAGCTCAAACATACAAAACAATCAAGCTATAGCTGTCTAAATGCTTTAAACTTAACTTGTCGCTCAGCTTTTGGGATGAATGAATTAAATTTTACAAATAGTCTTTCAGAGAATAACCCTTGAACATTTGTCAAAACTTTCTAATTCAGAAAATTTATTGTATTTTATATTTGCTTTATAAACTATATCATTGAACTATATCATCCCTACGCAGTTCATTGTAGGAAACTGCGTAAACAATACTAAATAATCCTATTCACTCTTATAATACCTTTACATAACCCCATCTTATCCTGCATATATATTTGTCCTAAACATACATAATTCACCCCTATTCCCTAAAATTTCCCCCTTCCCTCACTTAACCATCATCGAACCACATCTTAACCAATCTATTCGTCGTTGATTCCCTCATATTATCTTCTCTTCAGATCCCCTCGGGCTACAACAACAACATACGTGTATGTGATTTCCTTTTCTGTCATTTGTTCTATGAATATCCGCGAGTTTTAACAAAATATCTATATATATGTTAACCATACATAAAAAAGCAATTAATTTTTGTTTATCACTTCATCAGACTAAGCAATAATTGACCTCAGATCTGCATACCTTCCCGAGAATTAATATTACCTTTAAATATTGAATTTAATAACAAAATTAAAGTACTTCTTTATATAAAAAACTTAAAGTTAGGGTTTCAATTCTTTTTTAGTTATTTAAAGTTTTTAACATTTTAAACAAATTCATTTGATCTAGTATCAGAACAGAGATAATATTAAACAGAAGCACCTAACTTAATTATTCCTTACTACTGCTATATAAATCATTGCTATTCTGAGAGCAATTAACATTTTAATTAGCGATACAGCAACAAATAATTGACACTCATCAAAACTTACAACGATTCTAACAATTTCCTTATCAAACTTCACATAACAATTTTTCTTTTTAATCACAAAGAAGTTTGCTTACCTTCCCATGCTTTCCATAGAAACCGTGGCACATAGAATGTAAGTGCTTGACTAAACAAGACAAATGGAACCCACTGATAGTAGGCATGACGTTTGATGGGCTCCGCTTCAACTTCATGGGGGCCAATGCCTGGTTGAAAAATGCTACCTGCGCGCAATGCAGTGTTATTCAAATGTCGAACCTGAAAAGATATCTTCCACTTTATCTACTCGTCCACATTTACAACAAGGAAATATTTTATCGAGAGCATAAACGTGTTACTAACCAATGTAAAGGTTGGCGTGAAGAAACAATATGTGTTAATTACGTGTGAAGGTATCGTATCCGATATGCATTTGATGTGCTCGCCAATGTACTGCTGCGATGTTACCAGAATTGTTGCCACTATCAGAATTATGAAAGTCCAGCGATAGTGGAATTTGAATACCAAATTGTCGATGATGACTCGTGTAGGATCGAATTTTATGAACGGAGTCACTGAACTGAATGTCTTCAACATGTTGCACAATTATGTTAGCTTCGAAATCTGCAGTATCGAATTTCGTAGTTTTCGTTGGTAAAAACTTAATCTGATTCAAACAAAATTGATAGAAAAAATACTTTAACTATTCGAATAAACGATGGTTCCGCTTTTCATTGCGGTTTTAGTCAAACTGGTAACATTAACAGTACTTTAAATTTTTATGACGAATGAATTGTTCTCAAATCGCAATTTGTATTATCATTTTTGAGTTTAATTGTTTTTAGGTGCCGTTTCTTTTTTTATTTTTGTTTTTTTAATAAATTTTTTATTTGATAAGATAAAATAATATTTATACGCAACTTAATTTTTATTGTAAAATGAGTGAAGAGAATTAACGCAGTCGCCTTCGTATTGAACCAATGAGAACCAAACACCAAAACGTGTCTCAGGCCTCTTTTGGAGTTTCTTAACAATAAGTAATTTGTTATTTAACACGTCTGAGAAAGTAACTCAATCAGGCTACATGAAACTTTCTATAAACAATCAAAGGTAAATATTATAATAAATGATTTTTTAAATAATCGTCAACCAATTTATAACAATTACTTTCGATTAAGTAAATAGCCATATGTTAAAATTCATCAATCTTAATTTACAAATATATGTACCTATCTTTCATTGAATGAACATATTTTCTATAAATATATTTCAGTTACATATATTATACATAAAAACTATTTATAAATTATTACTAATATATATTTTATTAATAAAAAGTTAAAGTGAAGTTATTTAGTAGTGACGCAGATTAGCGCGGATATCAAAGTTCAAAGATGTATTCACCAAGCTGACTACACATATATTATAGTTCCAGAAGTTCTGAAATAGATGTACTGTAGAGTTTATAAAAAGTTTTCCACTACAAGTATTGAATTATCTCTTTGATATAAGGCTTGAGTATAGTTGCCAGCAATTGTCATGTTTTGTACACCTTAGAGTTACTTTCAGGATAGCGTTTTGATAGAGTAGAGAATATTTTGGAGAATATTATTATTGTTATAGTTATATGGGCTCGAACTTTGACTATCCATGACAGTGAGTTCATTGTTAGATCTTAACTTCTTACCCTTTCTATACTCCCTAAAGTAATTCTTACAGTTCAGCTAAATTCAGAAAAGTCTGGATCTACTCTTAAACGATTTCTATAATATATAACTGCTAGTTATTCTCCAAGGATATGTACGAGTGTTTTGGTGTCTTTCATACTTAGTCCATTTTCGTCGGTTTCTAACAGTTCATTGTTTTCAAATTCGACCTTTTCAGATTCAGTGGCTTTGTGTTTTTCTCCTCAAATTATTTCAAGAAGAAGAACTTGGTGCAACGAAATCTTTTATACAACATCTAATCACAGGAATTTTTTTTATGGTACTTGCTCATATTTTAATAATAACGTATAATTCTTACTACTTGCAGCTGCTGCTTTTTAGATGAATTTAAATATAAATTTTAATCAACTTGAGATTCGAAATATTGTAAAAACTTCAGTTTTCAGTGCTAAGCCGATTTGGCCATTATCTTCGTAAAAAGTGCATACCATACATAATTTTAATTTCATCGAAATGTTTTTATTGCATTGAAGGAGGCATTGACAGATGTAACTATATACAATTTCTGATCAGCACTTTATGACATCTTTGGAAAAACTTACGAAAGCCCAAGTCAGGGCATAGTGATTCATGTTCTTGTCTTTAAGAATCAAATTGAGTTTAGACGTAATAGAAGAATTAAAGAAGCATAGGTAATGACCAAGTGTTTATCTAAAAATAAGTAAAATAATCCTCCAGTAGGCAACGGGAAACCACTGGAGTATTATCCTAGAAAAATCATACAATCATTCAGGTACAAAAACGCTGCTCTGTTTATAACCAAACGAGGGTGCTAAGAGTCCCCAGAGGTAAGACAACCACTAAACAACAAATTGGAGCATGAAATATCCGTAATTTTTATGGGACATTCATATAGACATTCTTGGAATATTCGAAACATGGTGATCAGATTTAGGTGTAATCGGAACTGAAGCACAAAAATATTGTATTCGGGCTACCAGTAAACATAGAACTAATGTTCGTATTATTATTAAATTGTATGATCGCCTAAATTGAACATCAAATTGGCAAATAAGAAGAAAGAAGAAGAATGGCCAAGTCAGCCACTTTTAATTACTAAAATATTAATTTTGTATATAATAAATTTATGTAGAACAATATCATTCACAAAATAATATTTTAATTAATAAAGCTTAAGTCTTCAGTTTTTCTCTAGTTCATGTCGATAAAAAGTACCTACTATATCTAAATATATAAAAACCTGTCCTCATAAGCATGTTAATCAAGTTTCCATTCATACTCGTAAAGTATTTAAATACAGTTGAAAGACCAGGTTACTACAGAAACTCATAGGTGTTCTTTTTCCCTTCTGTACTATATTTTAAAGTTTTCTCTTATAATATTTTTTATTATAATTTTTAAAATTAAAAAAAAATGCTTTGCTAAAAATTTCGAAAATTACCATAGTTTAAAATATTGATTAGTTATTGAATAAAAACTGAACCTTGTTATGAAATTTGACTAACAATATATTATATAGGAAACAATGGAATGCTCTACTTGTATAAATTTTATGGTTTATTTTTTCAATTTTTATAAATAATAAAAAGACTTGAGTTTAAAGTACATCGCAATTATCACTTATCAAAGGCATTACCTTTTAAGTAGCAACTTGTACTATTTAAGTTTAAAATCTATTATCTTTTGTTGTAACTTATTTACCAAGTCTTCATATTCTGATAAGAATATAAAAACTAACTGACTAGAGAAATTATTTATTATTCTCAAGTTAAATGTGTTAAAGGTAAAGTAAATTCAAAAGTTTTTCTATTGGAATTTTGTTTTCTTTAAATAAAAATTATTCTTTAATTCACAAAATTTGATAAAGAATGGTATTAACATTTATATATTATATTCTTAAAATATCAAACAAGTGATAAAACCCATTTAGACTTTAAGTTAGATCTGTGTACTTTATATACTGTGCTATGCTTTAATCTCTTAGAATTACTAAATTATATAATTAACATTAAAGAATTTATATTCCATCTCATAATTCAATTTAATCCTAGAAATGTGACACTTATAAATTCTAGATAATAATTCCAGCAGAAGGGCCAGACTTCTATGCATATAGTATAGAGCCAGCCTCTTGTGTACATATAAAGGACGTTAATTACAGTAAGTTTGCGAGATTATAGGAAGAGCCTGAATAATGAACAAAAAAAATTATTGGTTTCTGTTAAAATTCTATCAAAAATACGTTGACTAGGCCTAACTAGGCCTAACCTATTCTTACAATTATAATCTATGCTTTGTGTGGAATAAGGCGAAATATAATTTCATATGAATCATTTGATTTCATTTCAGAGTTTACTTATTTATATCAAAATAAAAATAAAACATTATAATAAAATATTTTAATAGGACTTACGATTGAAAGTAAATTGTCAAATATTCGAAGAAAAAATTATCTTAACCTCACCTCACTAAAACTTAGTTTCAAAATTCTATATAGATTTGGAAATTATAAAAACATTTCTTATGAAGATTACTATAGTAGTATGTCTAGTGTGACAGGCACTCTAATATATATTTAGAGTTCAAAAATATTCAGAACGATTTGGAGCGCTACTACGGGTATCACCCAGGCTATGATAGACTCCCTTGCCCTATTCGATATACCATTGAAACATCAAATTATAAATAACATCATAGTAAATTGCTAATTTTAAAATAAGAACTCTGAACTCTTTTACATAGACTTAGGTAATAAATAGATAAACGTCTTTAAACAGTAAACGTTTTTAAACACATAATATACCTTGTATATTGAAGAACTAAACGATTTACAAAGAATCAGAAAGATTATCAATTTTTATATTGTCTTGCAACTATCGTAAACGAACTCAGAAGTTCGAAAAATTTACCTTTAAATATATGAAGAAAGAATCAATATTGGTAGGAAAGAATAAAGGAAGAAGTAGGGAGTAGGAAGAAGGAAAAATGAAGAATCAATATTTCTTCTTTAAATCAAGAAGAAGTTTGTCAAGTCAAATTTAATATTGAACTATATTTCGTTAAAAAATAATTGAAGTTTCAAGCAAATAACATTTCCTACAAGTTATTAGACAACTTCTAAATCATCCATTGTTTACTATTATAACTGATAAGGAAACTTTGAATAACACACTTTACTATTATGTGTTCACATCTCAGAGTGATAATATGCATGACACCACTGTTGACAAGCCCAGGTTTTAAAATACCGTAAAATGAAGTTGTGTGAATAGTTGTGAATAGCTGATACTGTTTACAAATTTACATGTTTGCTCATACTGGATCAAAAATAATTAGTCAGAAGTCGATGAACACGATGATTAAATTGGATAATTTACGCTTCTAATTACTTTCTCATCCACCGTACTCTCCAGATCTAACACAGCGAATACTGGCTTTTTACAGATAACCAAAAATGGTCAACTTAAGGAAAGTGCTTCATATGAAGAAAACTCTAGTCTTATTCTTGTCTAGATGGAAGATTAATTGGGTGATGATTTTTGATATCATTTCTTGATCGAAACTAGTATCTATATAGTAAGTCTGTTAGGTTAGGTATTTAAAAAATTAAATAGTAAGATTGACGCAGCCAAAATAATTAGTTCAGCAATAAGAACTGAATTAGTTTGTAAAAAACTGAACTAGTTCAGTTCTTATAAAACTAGAAAAACATTGAATAATTAAAA